TTTGACAGTCCGGCTATGACACAAGTGATTCAACTGATTTCTTTTCAATTCCTGTCTCTGACATCACAAAATTGTCAAACACAAGCAATGTCAATGTCACGGGTCGATGGGTATTTCGAGTTGACCATACATCAGACCACAATGGTACAGTAACTTAATAATTAAAAATACGTGGCATTAATTGCATATCTTGTTTAATAGTTACTTATTGTTTAAAACATGTTCAGAACAATTCCTTGAGCAATTAGTATTGAAATGTTGAGTTAAATTAATTAATATCATATATGCTTTCAGGACTAGGTCTGTGGATAAGAGGATCTGTAACAAAAAAATACATTTGAACTAAATACTTTCAGCAGTATACCATTTTTAAATTAAAATGAAATAAAGAATAAAAATATACAGGGCTTTGAAAAGCTTTCTTACCAGTGCAATATAGTTTGCCATAATTAAATTAAATGACAACCCAGAACCAGAGATCAGCAGTACTGGAAATAGTGTAGATTATCACCATTTACTCACACTGTAGTTCCAAACCTGTATGACTTTCTTTCTTAAGTGGATCACAAAAGAAGAGATTTTAAATGCCTCCAATACAAAATGTTGTTTTGAACACCAGTGAATTTTAATCTAACCTTGTCATTTAACCTAACAAGCCCATTAGTTAGTTTCCCCTGCCGTAGACTTTTGACTATCAGCGAGTGTAACATACACATTGCAGTTCATTCATGTCATGAAACTTTATAAGGCTATTATTAATTTTTACATTTTTTATTATTTATTTTACATTTAAAACATTTAGGAGCAGGTAAACTACGACTCCATGAAAATAAGACATCATATAAGTGTGCTTAAAAACATAGGCTATTTTAGGGATGTACCAAAATTTTGGCCACCGAAAGAGAAAAACAGCCGAAAATAGGCCTATATGGCACGCCGCACTGCCCACAGTGTTCAGCACGCAGGTTTCACTCTTCCTCTAGCTGTCGTCACTGCGCGGTGTGACGCTCCGCTTAATAATCCACTCTATGAATGTGTGATCTATTTCGACCTCACTCAAACCGTCACCATGGTCTTACCTTGAATGATGCCATTCTGCTACCCTTCCGAGATCTAATGTAAACAAAGTTCATTATAAAACATCCGGGTGAACAAAGCACTTCCTCTTTGCCTTTTCGCCTCTTCTGAGACTGATTCGGAGAATCCGCGCGTATATGCTGATATTGGACTATTACCTATGAGGGGCCGTACAAGCCATAATTCATTCTGGCACTCTCACACACTTACATTCTCCGTTCACACACATATATATGAAGAAAATATGTGTATGTAAGAGAAGAATGTATGTATGTGTGAGAGAGAGTATAGTGGAAACGGAAGGCAGGTCATGCACGATCAGGGTCTCTGGGACATGTCCTGATCAGTATGGCTGAGGTAGAATAGGCGGCCGCAGAAGTATTTCAGGAAGCTATGTGGGTTTAAAAAATAAAAATAAAAAATATTATCATTGTGAAAAGGTTACATTGCCTCGTCCCTTGAGTGAGTTGTGATTGAGGACGCGGGCTCAGCCTCAGTCGTGTTGCCAGATACATGTATTATAAGCGTCTTTTTTTCACTTAATTTAGGAAGTGAATAAAGTGGGAGGTTGCAAGTTAGGGAGAGCGATATCTTTATATTATTTCCATAACTCAAGATTTGGACTCATTGCGGTTTATTTATTTTTAGATTATTTTGTTTGTTTTCAATACCTGGCAATGCCAGCACACGGGCAGGTTATTCCTGACAGGATGCAATTTGGTAACACAAACATAATGATCATCATGAAATATTATCTGTAAGACAGATGCACTGAAGACGGACACAAAGAAGAGAGAATAGTCGCGTAAGCAGAGAAAATACTGTACCAGACAGAACAAATTCATTGTTTGCGATGCTTGAAATACTGAAAGAAAACCATAATTATGGAATTAGGGTGGGGGTTAATATGGATATATTTCTGAGGAGAACTGACTGTCTTAAGAAAAGTTTCTATGGTCTTTTCTTTTTCCTTTTGCTTTCGTTAAATACATATTAAAGGAGTGTCAATAAGCGCAGCACTGTGTACAGCAATAACCCAGGAAACGCTGCTAGTGTTCTATAACCGCCACCTGCTGTCAGAGATTGAATTCACATTTTCATCAGAATCAAAAAGTTTTATTGCCAAGTGTGTTTACGCACACAAGGAATTCGTCTTGGTGTCAGGAGCTTCCAGTACAGAAAGTAGCCTACAGTCATAGTGCAGTCATACATATAATTAAAGGGGTCATATGATGCTGCTAAAAAGAACATTATTTTGTGTATTTCAAAGACGCATATTTTCGTGTACCCATTCATCCAGACCACAAAAAGTTCCTTCGCTTTGCCTTCCAAAGCCAGGCATATCAGTTCGAGGTCCTCCCCTTTGGTCTCTCTCTCTCACCCCGTGTCTTCACCAGGGTGGTGTCAGCCACCCTTTGCCCCCTTCAAATGGCGGGTATAAAGATCCTTCCACACTTGGACGACTGGCTGATCTGTGCACCAAGCCCTCATCAGGTCTTGGAGGACACAGAGAGGGTTATCAATCATATAAAGGAACTTGGTTTTTGCATGAACCACGAGAAGAGCAATGTCGAACCACGTCAACAGACAGTATTTCTTGGATTAGTTCTGATTTCCCTGACAATGACAGCATCACTCGCTCCAAAGAGGGTAACAGCATTATCTACTCTGGCACAGTCTTTCCGATTAGGCATGTGGAGAGAGTTGGCGCAGTTTCAAAAATTATTAGGGATGATATCAGCGGCAACAAAAGTAGTGCCTCTTGGGTTGCTCAAAGCACGACCACTACAGTGGTGGACCAACAAGTTTCAACTCCACCCCAAATTACACAGGCGAGTGAGACTGAAGGTCACACGGAAATGCATTCAGGCCTTGCACCTCTGGTTGAGCAAAAAGAAATTGGGCCCAGGGGTCCCTCAGGGGAACATACCAGCAAGGAGGATGGTGGTCACAACGGATGCGTCTCTGACTGGTTGGGGGGGCTGTCTGGCAAGGCAGAACAGTGAGAGGTTCATGGGTGTTCCCCTGGAACATGGAATAAATGTGTTAGAGTTAAGGGCAGTTTACATGGCCTTGAAATTACTGATTCCTTTTCTGCAAGACAAGCATATCCTGGTAAGAACCAACAACATGTCAGCAGTTTACCATATCAATCATCAGGGAGGCACCAGGTCATTGCGTTGCCTCCAGGAGTCCAGGAGGCTTCTGTTTTGGGCCGATCCAAGACTCGCCTCAATCAGGGCAATCTACATACCAGGAGTAGTGAACCGGTCTGCCGATCTCCTCTCTCGAACAGGGCCTTCCCCAGGGGAATGGCGCCTGCATCCAGAGGTGGTAGGTCTGATATGGGACAAGTTTGGGAGAGCTCATACCGATCTGTTTGCATCAGCCGAGACAACTCATTGCAAAACATGGTTTGCGATGAGCAACCAGGGTGGACCTTTGGGAGTGGATGCACTGTCTCACGAGTAGCGGGGAAGATTGTTATACGCCCCCTACCCCTACCCCCCCCTCGCTCGCCATTGATTCCTCATGTGCTCAAGCGTGTGGAAGTGGGGCATTACAGGATTGTATTGATTGCACCGAAATGGCCAATGAGACATTGGTTCCCGCTTCTTTTACGGCTAGTACGAGGCCGTCCCTGGCCATTACCAATCAGAGCAGATCTTCTCACTCAGGTGGAGGGTCAGATTTGGCACCCGAGTCCAGCCATGTTTCAACTTTGGGTTTGGCCTCTGCTCAGTCCATCTCTCATGAGCTAGAGGAGGCAGTAGCAAAAACCATTAACAATGCTAAAGCACCTTCCACTTGGGAAAACTATTCAAATTGTTGGCGTGTGTTCTCTAAGTGGTGTCAGGATAGAAACCTGGATCCCGCTGGTTGTGATCTTGAGTTTATTCTGTGCTTTCTTCAGTCACTGTTAGATTCAGGAAGAAAAGTCAACACTGTTAGAGTTTATGTTGCAGCTATTTCTCATTTCCACAGTGTTGTGGAAGGCTTGTCAGTTGGTAAACATGCATTGGTGTCTCAATTTCTTCAAGGTGAACGATGCCTCCATCCAGATAGAAAGTTAAGATCACCGTCCTGGGATCTTCCTTTGGTTCTACAGTCATTGATTAAAGCCCCATTTGAACCATTGTCCCAGGCTGATCTTAGATCATTATCGTGTAAAACCGTTCTCCTTCTGGCTATCAGTTCAGCAAAAAGAGTGGGTGAGCTACATGCTTTGTCAGTAAGTGATGATTGTTTGAGATGGAAAACAGATTACTCAGGGGTCTCTCTCTGGCCGAATCCGGCTTTTCTTCCTAAGATTCTCAATCCTTGCACAATCAATCAGGCAGTTGAACTTGCAGCCTTTAAACCTGACTCAGATTCCTTATCTACAGGTCTTGACCTTTCTAGTCTGTGCCCAGTAAGAGCTTTCCGCACATACATTGAGTGCACACAGGGTTTGCGACAGTCACATACTCAGTTGTTTCTGTGTTTTGATAAAAAAAGCATTGGACGACCAATCTCGAAGCAGCGTCTCTCACACTGGATAGTGGACACTATTGCACAAGCATACTCCACCCAGAGCTTACCAGTTCCAGGGAACCTGGTGGCTCATTCTACTAGGAGTCTAGCCACATCATGGGCAGCACTGAAAGGTGTGACACTTACAGATATATGTGCAGCGATCTCATGGAGTTCACCTTGTATCTTTGCCCGGTATTACAGGGTCAATGTGGCAGAACCAGTTTCATTTTTGGTCTGCAGTTCTATGGACAGCTTCTAAGCAGGGATGTGGGGAAGGAGAGGCTTCTCACCCCTCGTGACTTTGATGGTACTAGTCATCCAATATAAGACTGTGGTGACGGTCTGAGTGAGGTCGAAATAGATCGTAAGTTATTACTATAACTATGGATCTATGAGACTGAACGATGACCGTCAGCATCTCTTGTCACTCGGGATGAACTGAGGCGTTTCAGGCAAGAGTAAGTGCTTTGTTCACCTGGATGTTTTATAGTGAACCAACCACTCAGGGTCAGTCACCTGACTTTGTTTACATTAGGTCTCGGAAGGGTAACAGAATGGCGTCACTCAAGGTAAGACCGTGGTGACGGTCATCATTTGGTCTCATAGATCCATAGTTATAGTCATAACTTACGTTCTGCTCATGTACCGCTCATGCTCACCGGAAAAACAAAGTCTGCTCAAATAACGCCCCGACAAGACATTTCTATGTAGTATACTTGTTCCTGTTTGCAATAGCACTACTGTGCTGTAACATGGCAACACTGGTAAAATGACGCTACCCTAGTGTTCACTGATCTGACTGCTCCCTGCTATATGCTCTGCTCACATGCTGTGACAATAATAGTTTAGCACTATACATTATTTGGATAATTTTTGGATTAGTCAAAAAAAAAAGTTATATCTGATTATGTTGTGTACACCTGAATAAAAATAATATATTGATATTTAATATTAATATATTTTCTGTCCAATTTTATTGTGTTACTTTCAATAAAAGTGTGGTTATTTTATTGGCTTGTGTGTTTAAATTTAGTATGATTAAAATTATTGCGTTAAATTGAGTTTAAAAAGTCTTACAAAATTACTTTTAGATTACATATATTATTTAACACAATAATAAATAATGATTACAAAGCAAGTGCGTCCAGAATTTTCAGTTTCGGCCCAGAATTTTCATTTAGGTGCATCCCTAATTATTATAACACTTTCGATTATGGAACACATATTCACTTTTAACTAACTAAAAGAGTTTTCCCTAATAATCTCCTAATTTCTGCATATTGATAGTAAGTAAGTTAGTTGCTGTAGTAGTTTAGTTTATTTAATTTATTTAACCCTTGTATGGTGTTCGGATCTGTGGGACCCGTTTTCATTTTTTATCAAAAGAAAAATATGATTCATTATTTTTTCAAACTCAGACTCATTGTGTGCGTGTGTGCGTGCGTGCGTGCGTGCGTGCGTGCGTGTGTGCGTGCATGCGTGCGTGCGTGTGTGTGAGAGAGAGAGTCTGTAAGAGTGTGAATGTAAGTGTGAGTTTTGTGTTTCTGCCCCTGCCATTCCTGCACCAGGTTGCAGCACTTTAATTCATAAAAGTGATTTAACAAAGGTAAATGGCAAATATTAACCATATGTGCTGTTTATATTGCTTGTAATAAATTGAGTATTTTAACATAACATTTTTAATTTGTTGAATTAAAAACCCAAAAATGCAGCGGGTTCACCAGACCCACGAACACTGGCTGAATAACAAAAATATGAACACCACACAAGGGTTAACAGGTACCATGGACAACACAAATGTTGTGCCAGAGTTAGCTAGATAGCTAATTTGCATCTGTAGTCCCTGAATACCTAAGGTATGACTTAACAGACTGAAATTGTACATTTTAAATTTCAGCCAGTTCACGCCATTTTTGAGTGCAGTATGCATCAGGTCTATGGATATGCTGTCAAACAAAGTGACATGTAACAACATTTGTTACATAATCAATACATTATGTTTTAGATCACTGTAGTTTTTTCCCCTCTATTTTATATTTTCAGACCTTTTCTACCCATTTGGAAATCAAGACATAAAGAATCCCTCTGAAGATGATGGAAGCTCTCCAGTAATATTACTGGAAAAGCCCTTCGTATATTTTGGACGTGTTTATCGAAAGACTTATGTAAGAGACTTGTCTTCATTAATTCTGTGTATGTACTCTGTGTGTGTTTGTGTGCAGTGCATTCAAAGTATTCAGAATTCACTCCATTCACCATAACGAAAAAGCAAAAACCTAAATAATTATAGCTTTTAAATTTATTAACAAGAACAAACTGAAATATAACACTGATATAAGTATTCAAATCACTAACTCAGCATTTAGTTGAAGCACCTTTGTCAGCGGTTACAGCCCCAAGTGTTTTTAGGCAGCCTGGTCTCATTGTTTATACGTACAGTACAGTAGGTACGTAACGTCTACAAGGAATACAAGGAAAAAAACATTATTGTAAATTTTTGTATGCTTTGATGCAGACACGTATTACGTTTAAAACGTAAAATTGCTATGTATTTAAAGCTAAAAAACGTACAAATATTTGAATCTTTAATATCATTAAGATATTTGTATTAATGCATTTTTATCATTTTATCGATAAGCGATTGAGATTTTTAGACCCCTTAACCTACCCCCAAACCTAAACCTACACTCTAAAAAATGCTGGGTTGTTTCAACCCAATGTTGGGTCAAATATGAACTAACCCAACTGTTGGGTTACATTTTTTCATTAAAGTTTTAACCCAAAATTTGGGTTAGTCCATATTTGACCCAAAGTTGTGTTGAAACAACCCAGCATTTTTTAGTGTACTCATTTTATAGCGAATATAATAAAAAGATATAAAACGTCGTAATAGACCGAAATATGCAGGGAAATTACCACTTTAGCAAAAATATAGCATTAAAAATCTCACTCCTACCTTATAACCAGGATAACAATAACAGATTGTTATCCCGATCTACTCCGTGAAGGTGCGCATTTCTCATTCAAACACACCTCACCAAAAACTTGGCAAATCACAATCTTTGACGAAGCAGGCGAGAGCCGTAAAATCTGTCTTAAAGTTTCTTGAAGTGGCAATTTTGAATTTGTAACGAGTGCATCAGCGCGGCTATAGAAAATGGACCTTTTTCATATTTCCGGGTTTCTCAGCAGCAGAAGTCGTCATAGTTGGGTAAACTTCTATAGCAGTGAATGGGAGACTACCACCAATGTGACCCTGGATCAAGGGTCAATTTTTCGAAATTGAGATTTATACATCATCTGAAAGCTAAATAAATAAGCTTTCCATTGATATATGGTTTGTTAGGATAGGACAATATTTTGAGATACAACTATTTGAATATCTGGAATCTGAGGGTGCAAAAAAAACAAAATTAAATATTGAGAAAATCGCCTTTAAAGTTGTCAAAATGAAGTTCTTAGCAATGCATATTACTAATCAAAAATTAAGTTTTAATGTATTTACGGTAGGAAATTTACAAAATATCTTCATGGAACATGATCTTTACTTAATATCCTAATGATTTTTGGCATAAAAGAAAAATCAATCATTTTGACCCATACAATGTATTTTTGGCTATTGCTACAAATATACCCCAGCGACTTAACACTGCTTTTGTGCTCCAGGGTCACACATGTATTTTTTTAATTATTTTTTTGCATTCCCATTTGCTCAAATAGCAAAAGAAAGACTCCATGATAGTGTATTCATGACTTTCAAAAAAAATAGAGAGACTGATAACGGCAATCAGTAGAGAGAATGAATCAAATTTACCGTCACTCCCATAGGTGTATTAGAAACACCCTTGCATTAGCATTAACTAGTTTTTTTGTAATTTGATGCAGATGTAATATAATATAAAGTATAGTGTTGTAAATGTACATAAACATTTTTTTAAATGAAAATACAAGAAACTTTGGAGGATTTATGATGCTGATGACCGTTGAAAAGCGTCATCACAGTCTTCTGAAAACGATCCATTAGGAGTTACGTCACAATGTTTTCACTCCGCATTGCATTTCGGGAAGGCGTCACCATATTAGCAGGATACAGTGAGACAGAGAGAAAGAGCAACAGAGCTTGATACAGCAGCTTGATATTTGTTAGCATTTTTGCGATACGCCGCAGTTTCTTGGGAAGAAATTGAGAAGGAGAAAGCAAAAGGAAAGGGGCTCTATTGGGAGAGACTAAATAACACAGCCAAGAAACTGCTTATTTAGAGAAACTGCTTGACATCAACAACACTGACCCGTATGACCTGCCAGCTACATAATGGACGAAAGGCCCAGAAGCACTACCACCTCTCTTATGGATTAAGACAGTGATATTGAACGTTCATATTTTGCTCATCTGTTTTCCTGCACATAGTATGCTCTATTAGTAAGGTGTCTACAGAATGTGGTCTCGGTACATTAAGTGTTTTACATTAGTGTGGTCACTGTTTCGGTACATTAAGTGTTTTCTTTATATGAAAGGAAAATGCTTAAAGTGTGAATGTAACAAAGTTCGTAGATCGGGAAGAAGGAGGCGGGAACCGGCGAACATTTACACATAAGACTTTAATATATAAATATACAAACACAAAACGAAAGTAAAAGCGGCAGCCCCTCACAGACGACTGCCACATAAAACATAATAAAACAACAACATAAATAGTTCAGGCCTGGTCCTCTCTCATCCTTCACTGTCGTTAATCCTCCTTTTATCCTTCTCCGTGGGACTCGAGACCTGTGAGTGACGCAGGTGTCGCTCATTATCATTAACGCCACCGGCCTTGGAGCTCTCGGCCCCGCCCCACTCGTCACAGTGAATAAACGCTTTGCGTTCACATTTTGGGCTTATATGCGTATCTACACATAGTATGCTTTACAGTTTTGTCTTTATCACTGTCTTGGTACATTAAGCCACATTAAGCATTATTCGTGTTAAGCATTTTAGAATGTCCCTGTTCAAGTTCTGCTAATTCCAATAGCGGCTCCTGACTGTAAATTTAGGTGGTGCAGATTCTGGGTCGTAGTGCTAGTTTATAATAAACTCAAGAAAGCTTATAGTCTTTATAGTTAAACACATGCACACACACTTTTTGTGATGCAACAAGCTTTGCAAACTTGGATTTGGGAATTTTCTGCAATACTTTTCTTCAGATTGATGTGAAAAATTTTTATAATGTATTCTCTAAGTACATATACATACATTAAATTTATATTTAATTTTTCACAGTTCATTATCTCAACAACAATACTTATAACAAAAAAAATAAAAAATTTAACTTTTACACAAATTTTTAAAAAGCTCTAAAGCTCTTTTATAATATTGTTTTTAACCTCTGTTTCAGGTTAATAACAATGGGGATTTGACATTTGATGGGCCTCTTTCACAGCCGAAACCCAGTAATTTACAGTCGCAACTCAACAGAGACATCATTGCTCCACTTTGGACAGACATGGACAACACTGTCAGTGGAACGATCTCCTATCGTCAGGTCACCAGTGGTAGAATCTTACTAGCAGCCACAGACAACATAAACCAGTATTTTCCTAATCTGAACTTCACTGCATCATGGCTGTTCATTGCCACTTGGGATAAAGTACCATACTATAACAACTTACAATCGGTAAGCTATCCACTAGGCTACTGTACTTACAGTACACACATCTGGTAGTTTCTGGAAATCTGGGAAAAGTATTTTTCAAGTAATTTATTGGTGTGTCCTGAAATGTATAATTCCAGTATCTTTTGGTGTCTCTAAATAAGATGTCTGTCTTTTTTAAAGCTAGGGTAGGCAGTTTTAGCACTATTAGTGTCGCCTGGCAGAACTACAAAAAAAGTGAAGGCGTGTCTTAACAGGTTGAAGTAAACTACTTTCAATAAAAGGTCCAACATATTAGGATTTCTTTAAAGGGGTCATGAACTGCCTTTTTAAAAATGATTTTGTACAGTTCTCTGAGGTCCACTTATAATGTTATAATTTTTTAACATAAAAAAAATCATAATTTAAAAGTAATAGGCTATTTTCTGTCCTGTTTTGACCCCCCTCATCAGAACGCTGTTTGAATAGGCGTGGTGGATTGTAGACTCGGAAGTAAACGCCCTGCTATGATTGGCTAACATTTGTGTATGTTTGACAATTTTTTGCAAATTAGCTTTTCATATATATATATATGAGCTGTGCTTTATATCGCTACACTTTTGACAATAGATGGTAGACCTTTTTTGCCAGCAAAATTGTGCTGAAATTTCACTAACGTGACGGCAGGTAATTTGGGTAAAAGAAAGAGGAAAGCCGTTTATGATTATTAAAGCACATTAAGTATGAGGATGATCTGCGTTTTATTATAGCAGTGCAGAATTAAGCATTAATACGGAATTATTCTCTGTCTATTAAAGATCCTTTTTTGTTTCTGTAACAGAGTTCATCTTATCAAGTTGTTTTGGTCTCTGGTGGCTCTCTGTCTTTTGTCATGATGAACTATGGAAATATCTCCTCTACGGACCATCGGTTTCAGGTCAGAAAGAATGAGAATCATATTTCTGAACTTTGGAACTATTACAGAACTTGTAAATATTATGTGGTGCAAAGCCTCTATTATTGATTTGTGTTTTCTTAGGCTGGCTATGGCACAGTCAACTCAACAAATTACTTTTCCATCCCTGTGCTTGATGAAAATAAGCTCTTCAACTCCAGCAATGTCAGTGTGTCGGGACGCTGGGCATTCCGTGTTGATGGTGGACCTCAGGAAGGTAATCCTTTGACTCTGTTTGATAGCATACAGTGACTTTTCAAAACAAGAACCACATCCGGGGGTGTATTCCAGAAAGTAAGGTTAACTTACCGTCACATATATCCTGAGCTCTCAGTTGATTAACCCAAACCTTGCTTACTTGAGGTATGCTGGTTCCTAAAACACTTCAGAGTTGTAAGTTCAGTCAACTCAGAGTATGTTCAAGGTTAACACACAAGATGATGAAGAAGAGTTAAATATCTTTTAATTATCCAAATAACAGGGCAAAATCTACATAAACACGCTAGCACAAACTGACGAGGCCATACATCAGACAGAGACAAGAGGGCAGAATAAGGCTACGTCCACACGAAGCCAGAGCTTTCCCTATCCGATCTTTTTTTTCCCCTCGTCTCAAGAAATATCTGCATCCACAAGAAACCACGAAACTGACACAAAACGATGTAGTATACATGCCAGACCAGTATGTGGCGCTGTAATTCTGCCACAGAGATACACTAAATACGGAGAAGAAGACTTGGACTATATGTATAAACCTTGCCTATTACAAACAAACATGGAACAATACATTTATGAATCTGTGTTAATGTTAGTTCGTCAATGACAATCGTTCAGTGTTTGTTCATGTTTTTGTTGCTGTTACGTGACGTAGTGGTGTCGGACTAGGGGCGACAAGTGGGCTGATGACATCATCGTTTCAGAAAATATACGGATTCGCTGTCCACACGAAAACGCAAGGGTTGCGTTTTCAGGTTTATCCACTCTGGGACCTGGTTTTAAAAAATATTGGTTTCACTCTCCCAAAACGCCGGATCCGTCTGGACGAAACGCCTATACGATACAAAATTTATGCGTATACAGCTAAACGTGTCTCCGTGTGGACGGGGCCTAATGGTGCGTTCAAGTCATGTCGAATAGATCGTATTTACGAGTTGAACGCACATGAACGCCACCACAAAGTCGTTATTACGAGTGGGAAGCTCTAAATTTTCTTCAAGCCCTGAGTTTCCGAGTTGGGGGCGTGCGTGTCAGTGAGAAACATGGCGGAATCAATGGATGCAACGTCTGTAGTTGACGATAAATTTTTACCGTGTTTTTTTACCGGCAAAACACTCCTGATGCGAATTCTTTGCTCTTCATTTTCTATAAGCAGAGTTAACAGACCCTTGTTGTATTTTCTTGTAATTTATTTAAAGAAGGTACACCACCATCTTGTGCCGACGAAACTGACTTGAATGCACCTGATGTCGTAATTATGACTTGTCAACTCGTAAGTACGAACGTCCCAGGAGGACTTGAACGCAGCATAAATGCACATCAGGTAAGGGCTTAATTGATGAAGGGCAGGTGAAACAAATCAAATCAAGGATCACAGATGACATGAACGCAACAAAACCGTGACACTGATTTTATAATAAGACATATCATAATGTATTTTTATTATAGAAATACATTATAAAAAAACATCCTGTTGCAAAAAGAAAAGAAAAAATGTTTGAATGCAGACCCATGTGTGACATGACAATAAAATAATAAAATAAATATAATAAACATATTAGAATAAAACAAACCTTGTTATAATAGTGCTTTATAATTAATATTACTTACCCTTGAACATACTCAGGTATGTCACATAACCTGCTTTCTGGAATACCCCCCAGATCAAATCTAACAGGGCTGCCAACTCTCGCAGTTGACTCACGCAATTGACACTGTTTTCATGCTCTTACGCCACGTGTCCATTTTCTCACACAGTGAAATGCACCCTTAGTTGAAACTGTAGTCCTAGGATATTGGTGAAACTAATTTGGTAAATGCTCCAGTGCTTATTTGTGTTTGCACTTTGGAGAGCATCAAAATGTTCTATTTTTGTAACAATGAGCAATGTAGCCAATCACAGACATATCTGTTGATTTCTTGAACACCAATGATTGGCCATTGCGTTCAAGTTAGTCAGTTAGTCGGTTGCAATTATTTGTATAAGTAGTTTAAATCTTGCAATTCTCTCACTGTACATTGCTATTGTTGTGTTGGTGAAAAGTTATGTGTTTTGCAGCATTGCAACATTTACATAAACAGTTAACACAATTTTATGGTAAAAACAAAGTACTAGCCATGACGTGAACTGCTTGGCATGTCCAGCCAAACCCCCAAGCCCCCCAATCTATATATTTTAGTGTGTCCTCGGTAAGCACCATTTTTGAAAAGTACGCATGTGCATAAATGCATATGATGTCAGAGGGAACCCACGATGAATCAAACATCAAATAAAGCAAAATGACAAAGAACAAAAATAAATAATGAAGTAGTCATCAGCTGTTATTTTCATTAAAGCAGATCTCGACGATCTCAAACTGATGAATTAGCAGAAGTTATTACTCCACCACCTGCGCATGATGCCATTAACGACAGACCTGTCCACCTTATTTTTCCCATAAGAACGGGCGCGGCCATTTGTAAATTTTATGGTTCTGGCTTTCAGTCTCATCCGCTTCCAGCTATTCTTAGCTGTACGAAACAGCTCGTTTTGCTGCTTGATATTGCAAATTGGTGTGTCTTACCATATTATTTTAATGTATTATCTTAATTATGAACACACTGGTTTGTAGTGCAAACAGTTTTACCATTTACTGCACATTGTTATTCATCTCATTTTTCCCCCTATAGCGGCTAAAGAACCAGAAGCCCATAGGCTTACTTCTGCGTTGAAGGATATATTTGAACAAATGTAGCGACCATGTTTGGCAAACAGTCGTGACTGACTGACTAGTTAGTTTCTAGAGTGATGCATTGTACTATGGTGGTTAAGCAGCAAATTAATACATTTACATAATACATATGCATTTTAGCATGTCAACAGTCAGCTCTTTTTTGAAGAGTGCGCATGATGTGCATAAATCCACAAAGGAACCCCAGTATCAAACATCAGATAAGACAAAATAACAGCAAACAAAAAAAAGTGAAGTAGTCATCAGGTGCCATGTTCATTAAAAGCAACATCTCGGAGATCTCGAAACAATTAATTAGCATAACTGATTACAACATGCATGTGACGTCATTAACGGCAGCCCTATATTGTTAAACCAGTGTGGTTCAGACGACAGAGATGCAACCATGTTCAGGAAACATGGTTAACATGGTTCAGGAAACGTGACTAGCTAGTTAAGGTAAGCTCACACTACATTACTTTTGGCTGGACTTTGCTGTCGCAGACAGATTTCCAAGGTCTGCAACAAAACCTACGGATAGCATTGTGGTCGCCAATGCTCTTTAAGTATGAGCTGGTCATCAATGTGATCTGAGCTTGTATTGAGCAGTCACAGACCCTGTGATATTTTCAGACATCGCCACATGATCTTGTAGTGTGTGCAATGCAGTGAGAAGGTGGAACTAATCCAGCCAATTACAGTGCAGATGGTATAAGTGGAAATTCTTGTAATCACTTGCGTGAATTTCTCATGTGAATTTATGAGAGAAAATGTTTTTCGCTGTTGGTCAGGACTGCCTCTTAACCAAATGTCTCGTAGTTTGTGGACCTCGTCGGTGTGTTATGTACTATTCACGCTGCTATGACATGACAACAAAAGATGATAAGAAACCTTGTATAGTGCGAGCACCACATCAATCTAGGTAGTCTTACAGTGTTTTAGTGTGAGCTTGCCCTTAGTATCTACAACAATGCATAGTGCTATGGTAGATAACCAGCGAGTTATTTTATGGGAATCGCACCCCGGTGTGCTTCTTTCAAATATCAGTGTTTCTCAGGAACCGCTTATTGCACCTTTAATATTGCAGGTTATTTATGATGTTCCTTTACAATTATAGGAATTTTCTACCCATATGGAAATGAGGATACAAAAAACCCTGCAGAGTATTTTGGAAGTTCACCTCTGATCCCTCTGGCACAGCCGTTTGTCTACTTTGGAATTATTTATAATCAACTACACGTAAGCAGCGTTGTCACATTTATGACACTGTACACTAAGTTTTTATTGAAACAACATGAGTAGCTTTCACTGTTTTGTTGTCAACAGGTGAATAACAAGGGGTATTTGACTTTTAATGGGCCGTTTTACCAGTCGTATCCCAATTATTTTCCTGCATACTCGACTAGAGACATCATTGCTCCATTATGGACAAACATTGACATTACACAAAAAGGAACCATCTCTTACCGACTAGTAACAGATTCTCATCTCTTGAATCGGGCATCAAAAGATGTAAACCAATATTATCCAAACTTGAACTTCTCTGCTTCATGGGTTTTCATTGCTACGTGGGATAAAGTACCAAACTATGTATACAGACAGAAAGTAAGTCTTCTTCTCGCATAGAAATGTGATTAAGAAACAATATCCCATGTTCTCTGTATTTATGTAGTTATTCCCTTTATCTTCCAGGAGTCAACCTTCCAAGTGGTTTTGGTGTCTGGCAAAAACATGTCATTTACACTTATGCATTATGGTAATATCGGCCCAACATATTCTGTTAGCGTAAGTGATTTGAAAAATACACTGAAATCAATATATCTTTTTTTTATCACTATATGGTAAGTGTTTGATTGTAACTAAACTTTTCGTCGTCTTGTATTTTGATTGACAGTCCGGCTATGACACAAGTGAGTCAACTGATTTCTTTTCCATTCCTGTCTCTGATGTTACATACCTTTCATACACAAGCAATGTCAACGTCACGGGTCGATGGGTATTTCGAGTTGACTATGCATCAGACAACAACGGTACAGTAATTTAATAATTAAACATGCATGGCATTTTTTTTGCATATCTTAATAATAGTTGTTTATCATTTGAAACATGTAACAATTCATTAGACCATTCATGTGTAGTGAAATGTTGAGAATTACAAATGAATTCAAATCATAAGTGTGCTGAATATGTAGTGAAATGTTGAGAGTTACAAATGAATTAAAATGTATAAGTGTGCTGAAAAATAAACTTGTATGCTTGCAGGACTGTTCTATCCATTTAGGAATGGGCACAAACTAAACCTGACAAGAGAGGTTTATGGATTATTGAAGCTTCCTTTGCAGACACCATTTTCTTACTTTGGGCTCACATACAGTTCTGTTTATGTGAGGACACTCATTAATGCAACTGCATTTTTTAAAATCAATTTATTACTTATATTAGCCATTAAAAGTATTTGTCAACATGTAATATCTGTTACTTCAAACTCCTTTTAGGTTTACCAAAATGGATTTCTTACTTTCAACTGGCCACTGTTTCCTTCAAGTCCCCCAACTCTTCCTGCAAATATAGACATTGTTGCCCCACTATGGACAGATATTGATAACAGTGACGTTTACGTTCAAGAATGCAAGGGTGTCCGAGTACTACAGCGAGCTACAAATGATATACGTCAATATTTTCCTAATACAAATTTTAGTGCAAACTCAGTTTCTATTTGTACTTGGGGTAATGTGAAATATTTCGGCACTTCAGCACAGGTAAGATTAATTACGTTGTTTGTTTTCAGTTGTCTTTTGACTGATAATTTGATGTTTGTGTTGTTTTTCTTCTTCAGAATTCCTCTTTTCAAGTACTGCTGATCTCTGGTTCTGGATTGTCATTTATTGTATTTAATTATGGCAGTATTCCCCAAACTAAACATATTGCACTGGTGAGAAATGTTTTCAGATATTTTACATTTATTTTAAATATTCAAAATAGCTGTAGCTCCTCTTATCCACAGATCTGTAACCAAAATGTTTGTAATCATTATTTAGGCTGGATATGACACTGATGATTCAACCAGTTATTATACAGTTCCTGTGTCTAACGTCGCTAACCTGACCCACTCCACAAATATCAATGTTAAGGGCCGTTGGGCTTTTCGTATCGACACTTTGCCAAAAGAACATGGTAATATATATATATATATAATATCTTTTTATGATTCTTTTCTTTCTTCGCCTCACTTTAATTCACTTTTTAATCTTTCTTTGTACTTTACCAAGGCCATAACATGCAACAACATGTTTTTCCAGGTCTGTTTTATCCAGCTGGTAATCAAAACACTCAGAATCCCTGTCAAAGTAATGCAAGCTCACCAGCTTGGCACTTACAATATCCTTTCTTGTACTTTGGACGCAAATACCACAAGATATATGTGAGATGTTATGCTAAACATGGTACATTTGAAATACACTGATATACAGTTTTACAGTTCATGTTGCTTCAGTTAAATGTTCAAATCTTCACTATAGGTTGACAATAATGGACTTTTGACGTTTGAACCATTTTATGAAAGACTCCCCAAGGCTTTCCCTGCCAACTCTAATAGAGACATTATAGCTCCACTCTGGGCAAAGTTTGACTGTAGCGTCAGTGGAAACATCTCCTACCGTGTAGTAACTCGAGGCCGTATTCTGGACCGGGCAAGAAATGATATCAAACAGTATTTCCCTCAGTTTGGATTCTCAATACATACAGTCTTCATTGCTACTTGGAATAGAGTGCCGTACTTGAACAGCCCCACAACGGTATGTAGATTGAAAAGTTACATAATCTTCTTCAACCTAAGTTTAGTATAAATCTAGGCAGAGATTGAAAATGAGTTTTCCGTGCTTGATAATATCACTTAATAATCACTAAAAGGATTGCATACATTTAGCTTGAGTGAGATTTGTTAATAGACCATTTATAGCTTTTTTTCCCCATTGAAACCATTTTTCCTAGGAATCCTCCTTCCAAGTTGTTCTAGTTATCTTCAGAACTCTTTCCTTTGTCATAATGAACTACGGAAATATCTCCTCAACTGACCAAAGTTTTCAGGTTGGACAGAATAAGAATCTTGCTACAAAATTTTGAGATTCAAATTAAATTAATGGAACCCTAAATGTGTTTAATGGAATTAGTAAAAAAAAAATTTCCAAACATCATCATATTATCTGGTCATATATATTTCATTCATTAAATTAATTAGATTTTTTTATTTTTTTTTATTTACCTGCAGGCTGGTTATGACACAATAAACTCAACCAAATATTTTTCAATCCCCGTGACTGATGAAAATAAGCTATTTAACTCCAGCAATGTCAATGTGCCGGGACGCTGGGTATTTCGTGTTGATGGTGGACCTGAGGAGGGTAACGTCACTGCTTAATATAGACAATATCACATTATTTGATAAATACAGTGGGTATAGAAAATAATCACCCCCCTTTAAAATAATCACATTTTGTTGCTTTGCAGCCTGAAATGAAGACGGACACCATTTTTGTTTTATCCAGCTGTATTTACTCAGTGCAACTTATAACATCCAAGTGAAACATATAACACCATGTCACCAACACAATTTTTTTTTTTAAATAACTAAAAAAACAGAATGACTGAGTCGGAATAAAGGATCCCCCCCTGCTAAAAATGACTTGAAAACTCAATCAGGTCTAGCTAATCACCTTCTCAATGGCACACAAAGCCATTTGACTTTCAACTGTGATAAGCTGTGCTCATTTTGATTAGCTCAGAATGAAAAGAGCTTCCTTGGAGCATTTTTAACTCCTTGGTAGTACAACTTAAGCAAACAATCAGCTATGGGTGGCCAGGCACTGTCAAAAGATCTCTGGGATAAAGTTGTAGACATGCAGGAGATGGCTACAAAAATTTTTTTTAAGGCTTTATCAATGCCTAGAAGCACAGCGAAGTCTATTATTAATAAGTGAAAGGTATTTGGTACAACACATACCCTCTCTGGATCAGGACGTCACTCCAAACTGGATTAAAAGGGCCAGGAGGAATCTGAAGGAAGGAATCTCAACTCTGAAGCAGTTGCAGGAATGTGGTCATTGTGTGCATGTTACAACATCACAAATTCTCCATCAATATGGCTTGTATGGGAGGGTTGTATGAAAAAAGCCATTCCTCAAGAAAGGCCACATGCAGTCACGACTGAGCTCTGCCAAAATGCACCTTGAAGATTCTGAGGCCACATGGAAAGAGGTGTTATGGTCAGATGAGACTAAAATTTAATAATTTGGCCTCAACACCAAACGATCACACAAAGCCATTTGACTTTCAACTGTGATAAGCTGTGCTCATTTTGATTAGCTCAGAATGAAAAGAGCTTCCTTGGAGCATTTTTAACTCCTTGGTAGTACAACTTAAGCAAACAATCAGCTATGGGTGGCCAGGCACTGTCAAAAGATCTCTGGGATAAAGTTGTAGACATGCAGGAGATGGCTACAAAAAAAAATTAAAAGGCTTTATCAATGCTTAGAAGCACAGCGAAGTCTATTATTAATAAGTGAAAGGTATTTGGTACAACACATACCCTCCCTGGATCAGGACGTCGCTCCAAACTGGATGAAAGGGCCAGGAGGAATCTGACGGAAGGAATCTCAACTCTGAAGCAGTTGCAGGAATTTGGTCATTTGTGTGCATGTTACAACATCACACATTCTCCACAAATGTGGCTTGTATGGGAGGGTTGTATGAAAAAAGCCATTCCTCAAGAAAGGCCACATGCAGTCACGACTGAGCTTTGCCAAAATGCACCTTGAAGATTCTGAGGCCACATGGAAAGAAGTGTTATGGTCAGATAAGACTAAAATTGAATAATTTGGCCTCAACACCAAACGATATGTTTGGCGAAAATCCAATACAGCTCACCATCCAAATAACAGCATTAGGTGGTGATATCCTGTTATGGGGGTGTTTCTCTGCAGCAGGGACTGGAGCACTTGTCAGGATAGTAAGGAAAATGGATGGGGCAAAATACTATCAAATTCTTGAGGAAAATCTGCTGAAAGTTGTCAATGGGAAGAAGGTTTACCTTCCAACATGACAATGACCCAAAGCACACAGCAAAACTCAACACACAATGGTTGAAAGAGAAAAAGGTGAACCCTTGCATGACCTAGTCAGAGCCCAGACTTAAACCCCACTGAAAATCTGAGGAATGACTTGAAGACTGCAGTCCACAAACGCTCATCATCAAATTGAACTGAACTCTTCTCTGCAAAGAAGAGTGGGCAAATATTGCAAAGTCTAGATGTGCAAAGTTAGTAGAGACAAAATCCCCAACAGACGAAAGGTTGTAATTATAGCAAAAGGTGGTTCAACAAAATACTGACAGAAGGGGGTGTCTGCAAAGAAGAGTGGGCAAATATTGCAAATTCTAGATGTGCAAAGTTAGTAGAGACTAACAAATCCCAACAGACGAAAGGCTGTAATTATAGCAAAAGGTGGTTCAACAAAATACTGACACAAGGGGGTGATCTTTTTTCCAACTCAGTGATTGTGTTTATTTTGTAATTATAGCAAAAGGTGGTTCAACAAAATACTGACAGAAGGGGGTGATCCTTTTTCCAACTCAGTGATTGTGTTTATTTTTTCTGACATGTTGGTGTTCTATCTTTCACTGGGATGTTATAAGTTGCACTGAGTAAATACAGCTGGATAAAACAACAAGTGTCCATCTTAATTTCAGGCTGAAAAGCAATATTGTAATATTACATGAAAGAAAACTGTTGTCATTTGGACTCTTATAAAATGTCCTCCTTAAAATCTTTAAAAACTCATAATAATATTATTGGGAATATTAGGGATATTCTACCCATATGGAGGTGTAGAGGATAAGATGAGCCCGAGGTCAGATGATGGAAGTTCTCCACGGATTCCCCTTCTGCAACCATTTGTGCACTTTGGACGTGAATATAACAAAATATTTGTAAGAAGCATTGTGATATTCATGACATTCATATATATTCCACATAATTGATGTTACTTGAAAATACTGACAACTGGTTTTGATCTTACAGGTGAATAATAATGGAGACCTGACCTTTGATGAGCCATTTTACTGGTATAATCCCTATTATTTTCCTGCATACTTGAATAGACACATCATCGCTCCACTGTGGACAGACATTAATAATTCGTTATAAGTTGCACTGAGTAAATACAGCTGGATAAAACAACAACTGTGTCCATCTTAATTTCAGGCTGAAAAGCAATATTGTAATATTACATGAAAGAAAACTGTTGTCATTTGGACACTTATAAAATGTCCTCCTTAAAATCTTTAAAAACTCATAATAATATTATTGGGAATATTAGGGATATTCTACCCATATGGAGGTGTAGAGGATGAGATGAGCCCGAGGTCAGATGATGGAAGTTCTCCACGGATTCCCCTTCTGCAACCATTTGTGTACTTTGGACGTGAATATGACAAAATATTTGTAAGAAGCATTGTGATATTCATGACATTAATATATATTCCACATAATTGATGTTACTTGAAACTACTGACAGCTGGTTTTGATCTTACAGGTGAATAATAATGGAGACCTGACCTTTGATGAGCCATTTTACTGGTATAATCCCTATTATTTTCCTGCATACTTGAATAGACACATCATCGCTCCACTGTGGACAGACATTTATAATTATGAGAAAGGAACCATCTCTTACCGACAAGTAACAGATGCTCATCTCTTGAATCGAGCTTCAAGAGACATAAACAAATATTTTCCGAACTTGAAATTCTCTGCCACTTGGGTTTTTATTGCTACATGGGATAAAGTACCATATTTTGGAAACCGTGAGGCAGTAAGTTTCTCTTTCAGTTAATATGTTAACTTTTGTTGCATAGTATTTTATTGAACTGAACTTAATGGAATATCAAGAATGATGCTTGTATTAATGTAGAATTCCCGGTCTCTTCCAGGAGTCAACCTTCCAAGTGGTTTTGGTGTCTGGCAAAAACATGTCATTTACACTCATGCATTATGATTATATCACTTCCACCCAAAGCGTTGAGGTAAAGCAATGTGAAAAAATGTGTCAAAAATATTGTGTTACCCCAGTTTATCATCTATAGCAGTGTTTTTGGATTTAATAGGATTTTTTGTGTGTTTTCTTCATTAACAGTCCGGCTTTGACACGATTAACTCTACAAATTTCTTTTCAATTCCTGTTTCTGACATTGCAAATCTGTCATACACAAGCAATGTCAATGTCATGGGTAGATGGATATTTCGAGTTGACAATTCATCAGAAAACAATGGTATATATGTTTATTCATGTAATGTGTCATTTACCTAAATTTCAGATATCTCAAACTGGTTACACTTTAGATTGGGGAACACATATTCACTATTAACTAAGATGTTTCCTTAATAAACTCCTAATTATTGCTTATTGATAGTAAGTAAGGTAGTTGCAGTAGTTATGTTGAGGAATGGGGTAGGCTTCAGGGATCTAGAATATGATCATGCAGAACAAGGCATTAATATGTGCTTTATAAGTACTAATAAACAGCCAATATGCTAGTAATATGCATGCTAATAAGCACCTAGTTAATAGTGAATAGTGTTCCCTAATCTAAAGTGATATCCTAATTTCATTATTTATTTTTCTCAAAACATATGCTTTTGTTTCTTACAACAGAGTTGTAACTAAGCCTTTAAGGTAGATATGTATGTAACATTTGCCTCTGTTTTGTTTTGCAGGATTCTGTAGCAAAATTAATCCCCAAGGTACATTAATATAGCATCAACAATTTGGTTTCTAGTTATACATAGTAATATAGTAAAATAATTGATATCTTTGTTTTTGATGAAATAATTGTGCAAATAATATGTCCGTAGCAGCATGTAGATTCAAATTGGTTCATGTACCATCAGGTTTTTGAGTCAGTTAAATTTTGAATGCAATTTCATACATAGCAAAAAAAATATTTTTACCTTTAATAATTTTGATGAATATATCCATACTGAAAAATCAGATTCGCTATTGTGAATCTTTTGAATTGACATGACTTATCAGTCAGATCAACTTATAAGTCACTTAATATATGTATCAAAAACAATAAGAGTTTGAGAGATTCATGAGTGATATATATATATATATTATAAATTATACACACCCACCTACTGTACAGTGTTGGAGAAAGTTATTTTTAAAAGTAATGCATTGCAATATTGTGTTACTCCCTCAAAAAGTGTTACTCCCTAAACTAATTGCATTACTTAGTTACTTTTTATAGAAAGTAATTTATTACATTACTTTTGTGTTACTATTTCTCAATTGGGCTGGGCTTGCTTGTTTGTTTTTAATATGCAAATTCAGAAATAAAAAATTAAAAAAAAACATTTGTTAAGAAGATGGGATTAAATACGTAAAGGATATTTGTGTTATATTTAATTATCACAGGTTTGCATCATATTCTGAGTTTGTATTTCACTGTTTTTATTCATTTTGAGAAATACTGGATCTGTTTTTGTGCAAGTGAGATGAGTGAATGCATATTCACATTTAGTCTAGAACTACAGTTTACACAGTGCACGCAACTCCTCTGTACTTACCCCCAATTTCTCTTAACATGGGGACAGGAGAGCTGTCTGTCAAAAAAATGGGAAAACTTAATGGGAAAAAGTAACAGACATTTTCTTGGAAATCAAAAAGTAATGTGTTACTTTGCTAGTTACTTTTAAAAAGTAATCTGATTATGTAACTCGTGTTACTTGTAATGCATTACCCCCAGCACTGTATATACACACGTTTAACAATCAGCTATGAAAATATGTATTTTGCTTGGCCGCCTGAAAACAGCAACACAAGTTCAGGAATTAAAAATATTTTATGTTATGTGTGATTGGAAAGGATGACTTGAACATCATGCTTGTTAGATTATTTTGCATGAGTTATTACAAAAACTGTACATTTTGAATCAGGAACTAAACTTCGGTCCTCCACCTCAAAAAATTTAATATTAAAATAAATAAATAACTAAATAAAAATAAATAAATAAATAGGCGCATGAAGCCTTCTGTAGTAGTAGAAGTTCTTGCGTAACAACCTACATCATTGTCTTTTGTGTTAGCTTCCTCAGATGATGTTTCTAGTGCTCTGATATGTGGAAGAACCTCAGTTACCACCAGCAGCAGGATAGTAGGAGGTCAGAATGCTTCAGCTGGGCGCTGGCCCTGGCAGGCTAGTCTTCTTCGGTTAGGCAGGCACATCTGTGGAGGTTCTCTTATCAACAAAGAGTGGGTGCTGTCTGCTGCCCACTGTGTTCATGGGTAATCTCATTCAACTACTCGCAAATTAATTCCTCAACGTTCATTGATGCTTTGAGTAGCTTACATTTTAATTGAGGAATTTATTAAAGCCTACAGTAACTTATTTGATACGCTTATTTCTATGGCCTCTTAATTATCAACATGATCAAACCCTGAAAAACCTATTGCACACAATCTACTATATGCCTTCTGTCGCCTGATTGACTTTTTAAGCAAGTAAAAGTTCTTCCAAAAAAAAAAAAATCCACTATTAGGTTGTGGTTCATTGTGTTTTTTGTTATGAAATCTTTACTATTTTTTGTAAAGTAAATGTAAAAAAAAAACTTTTTTATATTATTAGTATTTCAAGATGAACACTTACTTGACTAAAGTAACCTAGGTTTACTTGATTATCCAAGCATCATTTTTTTCCATATTAAAATGTATCAAATATGATTCATCAGGCTTTTGAGTAGAGTTTATTTGTTCATCTCTCAGTCATCTTTGTATTGCATTGCATTATATGTTTTGAAGAGGTTTGTATTTATATATACATAATTGATGTACACAGTATACACACATATATTATGTAAACAAAAACTTTTATTTTGGATGCGATTAATCGCGATTAATCGTTTGACAGCACTAATATTCAGAGATGGGTTGTTTTTTTTGTTTTTTTAGATACTTGGTAACAAACTGTTTGATTTTAATAACAAGTTACATTTTGGCAAATGTGTATGTAGTGTAATTATGGTGTAGCCAACATGTAATACCATACAGAAGTTTGGGGTTGGTAAGATTTTAATGCTTTTGCTCACCAAGGCTACATTTATTTGAAAAAACAAAACAATAAAAAATCTTTCTGACATCAAATCTTTGAATGGTAGTGTATGTTTCTTTCTACAGTTATTTTATTGATGTGCATTTTCAGGGGGATTCAGGAGGTCCGATGGTGAGCAGGCAGAGCTCTGTATGGGTTCAGTCCGGTATCGTTAGCTTTGGGATTGGCTGTGCTCGACCTGAAACTCCCAGAGTGTTCGTCAGAGTATCACGTTATCAGGAATGGATCAGCTCCTTTGTGTGCAGCGATCCTCCAGGTTTTGTGCAGTTTACCTCTGCTGGAGCTGATCCTGACTACAGTTACAGCTGTCCTGGTCTTCCTCCTCCTCCTCCTACTACTACTCCTCCTCCTTCTCCTACTCCTACTCCTACTCCTTCTCCTTCCTCATCCACAAATGAATCTACAGTTCTATCTTCTGCAACATCTCCATCACAAAAATTTTGGCTATTATGTTTTCTGTTGCTTCTACCAATACTTGCCTTCATTTTATATGCAATGAAACACCGTTTGGGGTCATGCATTCAAAGATGCATTCACTTGATCAGAAGGGACAATAATGACATTTATAGTGATACAAAAGTTTTATTTTCCAAATAAATGCTGTTCTTTTGGAAATATTCAAAGAATCCTGAAAAAAAAGGTATCACAGTTTTCCCCCAAAATTTGAAGCAGCAAAACTGTTTTAACATTGGTAATAAGAAATGTTTCCTGGACAGCAAATTTATTAATGAAGAGTGAACTACGATCTTCAGGAAAAGCTGGAAGTTAATTCTAAAAATGTATCTTTATAAAATAATTACCAGGGTGGGGGGAAATTGGAAGCCTTTAGAAAATGAAGACATTTCTTTAGATTTCTTTACTGTGGAATAACCATTAATTCCACAAGTTGTCTATTAAGATTTATCTGTTTGAACATGTTGGTTTCCTCATCAACACACTGCAAGTCGTCTGGCTTTTGAATGAAAGATTTCTTCTTGCTAAAGATTTCACTGGTCATATACTACTAATCCTGCCTTAAAGGAATAGCTCACCGAAAAATGAAAATTTGCTGAAAATGTACTGCACCTCAGGCCATCCAATATGTAGATGAGTTTGTTTCTTCACGGGAACAGATTAGGAGAAATGTAGCATCACATCGCTTGCTCACCAGTGGATCATCTGCAGTGAATGGGTGCCATCAGAATGAGAGTCCAAACAGCTGATAGGGCTGAAATGATAAGTCAACATTATCGACAAGGTCTACAATTAAAAATTGTCAAAAAATAGTTTTTTGTGGAATAGTCTTCTGATCTCATTAGACCCAATTTCAGGTCCTGCAATACCATGGATTGACCAGTGGGGCGCTGTAGACTACTAATTCAGCCCTCCCAGACGCAAGAAGAAACCGAAGCAGACTGTGGGAAAGTTTTACAAAACTATAAAAATAAATATTAATAAATAAATAAAAATAAAAAATGCCCTGATGTACTCACAGCAAATTTCTTTTTCGTTCTTCATTTAGAGGTCAAAAGTTGTTTGATATACAGTACAGAAGCAGTTAAAAAAAATAACTTTACAGTATTCATGAACTCAAGCCTGACACTCTCAGCATTCCCAAACCCAGTAGTCTCTATACCACAGCCACTTCACGTCACGGCTGCCATCCCAGAGCCTCTTCACGTCGTGGCTGCCATTCCAGAGTCTCGTGATGACACTGAAGCCATTCCAGAGCCTCATCCCATCATGGCCGCCAGCTCTGAGTCTCTTCACAAGATGGCCACCAGTCCAGAGCCTCTTCACAAGATGGCCACCAGCCCAGAGCCTCTTCACCAGATGGCCACCAGTTCAGAGTCTCCAGCCATCATGGACACCACGCCAGAGTCTCCAGCTGTCACGGACACTACGCCATAGACTTCAGCCATCACGGACGCCACTCCATTGTTTCCGGCCATCATGAACAATGCACTTGAAGCTAGCAAGGCAGTGCCCAGACAACCGAGACTGATCTCCAGTTTGACGGACCTACTGCTAGTTTCAGCCAGAGCAGCTGGCATCCCAAGGGCCTCAGCACTGGCTATCACAGAGACTGGTCCCCTATCCTCAGTGCTCCCTGTAACGGTTGTAGCCATCCTGTGTGTTTTGGGCTACACACTGCTCTACTACTCCTCCAGAGCCTGCTCCAGTCCATAAGTCCGCTTCTGAGCCTGTTCCAGTCCATGAATCCACTTCTGAGCCCACTCCAGTCCATGGATCCGCTCCAGGGCCCACTCCAGCTTCTCCTGAGGTGGTGGCGTCCGCTTCAACTCCTCTCATGCCATGGCCAAGGAGACCGTTTGTGAACTCTATGCCTATCCAACCACACCCAAGGAGGCTATCCACCATAGCTTAACTCTCTTCCTATCCTGTCACAGCCAAGGAGGCCATCTCTGAACTCTCAGCCTGTCCTGGTATGGCTAAATATGCTGTCTCTGAACTGTCTGCGGTCCCGGTCCCTGCCATTTTTCCCTCTCTCCAGGGCCCACTCCAGCTTCTCCTGAGGTGGTGGCGTCCGCTTCAACTCCTCTCATGCCATGGCCAAGGAGACCGTTTGTGAACTCTATGCCTATCCAACCACACCCAAGGAGGCTATCCACCATAGCTTAACTCTCTTCCTATCCTGTCACAGCCAAGGAGGCCATCTCTGAACTCTCAGCCTGTCCTGTTATGGCTAAATATGCTGTCTCTGAACTGTCTGCGGTCCCGGTCCCTGCCATTTTTCCCTCTCACCACCAGACGTCTCCATCACCTATTCACCCTGGACTCCTTTTCCCATAATCCTCTCCCTAGGAACTAATTACATGCTTACCTGTTGCCTATCAGACAGGCTATTTAAGCTGCACTCATTCACACACACCTTGTGAAGTATTGTTTAGCACTGCGGACATTACAGAGCATTTCCCTTGTTTACCTTGCCTTGTTCTTTGCCTAGTATTGCCCTGTTCTTGCCTTGCCTTTTGATCTCGGACTGTATTCTTGCATTTTGTGATCATTTGCTGCCTGCCTTGACCATTGCCTGCTTATAGGATTACGCTTTTGTCTCACCCTGGATGTTTTTGTTTGCTAGTGTTTGACCCTGACTGTTTTGACTACACTCTATTTTAATAAAGCCTGCACTTGGATCCTCTACTCCATTGCCACGCTCATTCCTTACAATGTGAAAAATGGCTGTTAAAAGTCAATAAGATGGAATTTTTGTTTCAGATCTGTCATTGGAGCTGAAATGTGCTAGGCTTAAACAAAATATACACAAGCATGTAAGGCTGTCCCTTGCCACATATTCTAACTAATAAATAAAATAATGTCACTTTCTGCTTTAGCTTTCAGCTTTTGATGATGTCAAGCAATTATATTACTAGTACAATTGTGTAATTATACAATTACAATTATTATTCAATTTGTTACAATACAAATAAACATTTTGCATAACATTATCTTCTGAAAGTCATATATGTGTACATGGAACAAAATAAAAGGAAGTGATCAGTTTTATTTTTATTTTATTTTTTATTCACAACATTACCTCTTATAATGTTACGATAACCAAAGTCTTGAGGTAGATCAAGCATTTATCTGTGCACCACAAACTATGAATTTAATATAATGTTTTGGGGTGTTTTTTGCATTCCAAAAAACAAACAGACAAAAAATAAATAAAAAAGTAAAATTAGTTAGCTCCATATTGGAGATCTGCTTTATAGCAGAAAATCAACTTGTAATTCTGAGTGAAAGCAACGCAGACACTGTTTCATGTTTAAATGTAATGTTTTCGACCATTTAATGCATATTATTTGTAATTGATTTTAAATATATCACAGTTTGAAAATTACATTAAATGCAATTAGTTGAACTTTTGAGTTGTATTTTTTAACCACTTAAAATTCATTGACAGAACAATCTCTAAAACAAAATACACAAAAACCCTTTTTGCTGATGCACAAGAAAACCCCAACACTATACACAAAGTTACAACGCTTTGACTCACTTAGAAAGAGTCTGGAGAACAATGCAAAATAATTTTCTCCCTTACATACAAAAGTACCTAAACCTAAATCTCGCCATCACAGAAAACATCATTCTGTATGATTTATAAGCCTGTTTCCTCACTGGGAACCTAAAAATGTCCACAAGGTCAAAATGTATTTTGAAGTTAATACTATCCTTGTGGGGTCATTTGGTCCCCATAACAAATAGGATTACCAAAACACACACAATTAATACAGAAAATATATCCCCAGTTTCACAGACAAAGCAAAAAGTAAAGTCAATATTAAGTATGTGTTCTGAGTTTGTCACACCACAGAAAAATGTATTATTCACCACCCAGCCAAATTTAAATAGAAATAATAAAAATTAATTTAAAAAAAATTCACTAAGTACATAAAATGAGTTATCAAAATCTCAAAAAAATGGGCTGTATCCTCTGCTCTCAAACGCTAGGGGCGTGTCCACTGTCTGCGCTGAAACCACGCCCACTCGCAGGAAGGCTGCCACCTCTTAACTGTCAAATACCGCTACAACCTGAATGGATGCTCCTAGCAGCTTAATTGGATTTACAAAGCCATACATGTTTGAGCCTCCAGAGCCAGAATCCAGTTCAGAGGACCAGCTACCCGAGAATCAACCTCTCGGTCTGCAACAGAATGGTAAGGACAACGAGCTGTTTCGTAAGTTATCGCAACCAAGTAATATGCATTTCCGTGACGAAGGCATAGCTAGCTAGCAAACTGTAGGCTGACTAACGGCACTGATAGTAACTCGAGATTGAGTGGGTGAACTGATGCGAATGTGCTCTTGTTATAATGTTAAGGGAGGGGCCATGCTCAAAGGGAGGGGCCATGCTCAATGGCTCCAGTGTGTCATCGACAGTTATTATAGTGTTAGGGGAGGGGCCATGATCGGTGGCTCCGGTGTGTCATCGACAGTTATTATAGTGACTCGCAGGAAGGCTGCCACCTCTTAACTGTCAAATACCGCTACAACCTGAATGGATGCTCCTAGCAGCTTAATTGGATTTACAAAGCCATACATGTTTGAGCCTCCAGAGCCAGAATCCAGTTCAGAGGACCAGCTACCCGAGAATCAACCTCTCGGTCTGCAACAGAATGGTAAGGACAACGAGCTGTTTCGTAAGTTATCGCAACCAGGTAATACGCATTTCCGTGACGAAGGCATAGCTAGCTAGCACACTGTAGGCTGACTAACGGCACTGATAGTAACTCGAGATTGAGCGGGTGAACTGATGCGAATGTGCTCTTGTTATAATGTTCCATGCTCGATGGCTCCAGTGTGTCATCGACAGTTATTATAGTGTTAGGGGAGGGGCCATGATCGGAAACAATTCTCAGAATTTACTTTACAGGGGCTTTAAGCCTATAGTCCCAGACTAAAATGTAAGTCTGAGCTGTTTCAACTGAAAGAAATTTGCACTGACTGTTCTTAAAATATATAATTGCCTTTGTTTTGTCTCAAGATGCACACCAGTAATGTTTTTTTCTAAGGCATGTTTATAAAAATTAGTTAAATGCCCTAATTGAACTATTAGGCTTAGTCTAACTGACTTAGTCTAAGCCCTTTCTGTGAAACCAGGCCATAAGCTCTCAAACCTTTACTAGCACCAACATTAAACAGGACCAGAAGGTTTCTTCTAAAATCTTACTCCAGCATTAGTGAATGCAAGTTTGACTAAATAAAAAAGTTTAAAAAAAGAACTCCAAATGAGCTTGCTGGGAAGTGCTGTTTGTCAATGTCCCAGAAGCTCTCCATCGGCAGAAAACTTCAAATGTCATGAAGCTGCACACCATCTCTCCACAGTATGTGTGAATGGAAATGTTCCAAAGAGGCAGGAAAGTCAGAAAAAATACCTTGAGGAAAAAAAATTGTTATAAAACAGATCCAGTCATTATAAATGGTTCAACTGAGTGAAAGCAATACAGTTGCGGTCCAAAGTTTATATACACCTTGCAGTATCTGCAAAATGTTAATAATTTTAGCAATAAGAGGGTAGAGGGGTAGGATCATAAAAAATTGCAATTACTGTCCTGATTAAGCAGTTTATTCTGCAAGGCGTGTGTAAACTTTTGACCACATCTGCATCACCTAAGTGATGAATTACCTCAATCATCAGGGCAACATCGTAGTAGAATGCTGGGAGATGTTCCTTTTCCTTTCCCACAAACACCATAATTCCACTGACCACACCATCTTTACTGACACTGGGCTTTAAAAATAGATAACATTTGTATCAATGTTTTTATTCCTACTTTACAGGAAATAAAACAACTTTATCAGTTACCTAAATATAAATACCCCAAAACCCATGAAAATGAAAAAAGGTCATCTTCAATTTTTTCTCGTCTTGCCTTGCAAGCTTCTCTCGCACATCTTCATGAAGCATGTTTCTGTATTTACCACGTCTGGCACAGCAAAGCTGCTGCCCTCTTCCTTTGGTTTGTTACCTGTAAAACATATGATGATTAGAGGAGGATCTGTAAATGCACAGGTGGGAATGTATTACTTGCAAATCGAAAATATTCAAATCATTTAAAAGCCATAGGGATAGTTAGTGACTTGATGGCAGTTTTAGCTTGTAATGTGTGATCAGGGTGAGCTGGCTGGGCAACAATTCATTAAAAAACTTCTAACTTCAATACAGGTCTGTGATTCCACACTGTATATCCAGTCACAAATCTGTACTGATCTTGCAAAATGAATAAATAACTCCAGATAAGTACAAAAATATTACATATTACAAACACAAGCAGTATCTGAACATCTCACTTTTCAAATGCAAAAAGAAAAGAAAAGAATAATAATAAAAACATTATTTCTAGGGGTGGCTTATATATTGAATATTAGCCTACTGGTGGTTATAA